ACCAAATCACTAGTATTAAAAATGAAAAGAGTGACTATATCACTAGAGAAGATTAAATCAAAGTAATTGTAAGGAGTTATTTTGCCCAATTATATGCCAATGAATTTAACAATGTAAGAGAAATAGAAGAATATTTACAAGATATAAACTGCCTAGACTAACAGAAGAGGAAATAGAATATCTAAATAAACCTATTTTAGACAAAGAAATTGAACAGGCCATAAATGAGCTTCCTAAAAAAGAAGTATCAGATGGATTTGCAAGTGAATTCTACCAAACATTAAACGATCAACTATAAGGGACGTATGAAGGAAGATGCTATCCACATCCAGAGAAGAACTGATAAATAGAAGTATGCATAGTATGATTTTATGTATGTATGTTTGTGTCTAATGGTAGCCTTCTTTAGGGTGAGGTGAGGAGGGAGGGAGGAAAAAATAAAAATTGCACAGCAGAAAATGAAAGAAAAATTAGAAGGTAGCACAGAAAAGCAAGGTAGCTTAGAAAATGATGTGTAATATCTATTACATAGGGGGGTTTTTTAAGTTAACAGTGTGAAATAGAAATTTATGATTTTATATTGTTCCTCTTATGTGCTGTGTACGTGGAAATGTTCTTTCTTTCTATCTTTCTGTATTTAAGTTCAAAATGAATAAAAAGAAAATAAAAAGAAAAAATTTAATTTTAAAAAGATAAATCATAAAAGAAAACTCACAAGATCTTTCCAAAGTAGAAATAGAAAGAATCCATCGGTTACCTCCTGAAAGAAACTCCAAAATGAAAACTCTCAGAAATATTATAGCCAAAATTGAGAACTTCCAGGTCAAAGAAGAAATAATGAAAGCAGTCAGAAAGAAGTAATTCAAGTACCAAGGAGCCAAAGCCAGAATCACACAAGATTTAGCAGCCACTACATAAAGATATATAGAGCTTGGAATACAATATTCCAGAAAGCAAAGGATATAGACTTACAACCAAAATTAACCTATCTACAGGGGCAGCTAGGTGGCACAGTGGATAGAGCACCAGCCCTGGATTCAGGAGGACCTGAATTCAAATCTGGCCTCAGACACACAACACTTACTAGCTGTGTGACTCTGGGCAAGTCACTTAACCTCATTGCCTAGCCAAAAAAATAATAATAACCTATCTAGCAAAACTGAGTTTGGTCCTGAGTCTAGCTACCTATCAGCTACAGCTATTACCCAAATTTTAATTTCAAGGCCAGTGGGGGAGGGGATTGGATTTTTAATGAAATAGAGGACTTCCAAGTACAGCCAAGATGGCAGAGTAAAGGCAGGGACTCTCTTGAGCTCTCCCCCAAACCCTTCCAAATACCTGTAAAAATGACTCTAAACAAATTCTAGAGCAGCAGAACCCAAAAAAAAGACAAAGTAAAAAAAATTTCCAGGTCAAGACAACCTGGAAGATCAACAGAAAAGGTCTGTTGCCCCTGGGTGAGAGAAAAGTACAGTCCAGTGCAATCCATGTCAACACAGACCAGACCCCAGCAAACCCAGAGCAGGCTTCAGAGGACTGAATCACTGGCAGCTGTGGCAGTTTCCAGACTTCTCAGCCCACAAATGCCAAAGACAACTTAGAATGTCAGTAGGAATGGTCTGTTGGACCTAGGTGAGAGAGGAGCACAGTCCAGGTTCAGCCCCAGCACAGCCCCAGCCCCAGCAAACCAGGAGCAGGCCTTGGGAGTAACTGAATTAGCACAGCAACTACAGCAGCTGCTTCTAGAGCTCTCAGCCCACAGACAGTAAGGTGGGGCATCAAACAACTAGTCAGAAGGAGATTATAGCAGTCTCTTTGCTAGCCCAGAGGCAGTACTCTATTGCTTTGCCCATACTTCAATCTGGGTTGCAGTCCTAGATGGCAATCCTGGGGCAAGGAGGAGCACTAGCATAGCAGAGCTTGTGCCAGCCCTGGAGAGAGGAACCTCCTCACAGTTCCAGGTCAGAAAAGAGTGCTTGGGATCACTTACAGACCAGAGCACAGGCCAGGAGAGTAGTAAACACCTCTCCTTAGATCATACCACCTTGGAAGAACTGAAAACTTACAGGTCCCTAGAAGTATCTCTGAAAACAGCTACACAACCCCCCTGAAACTTGGGACAGTGTGACCTTCATGCTGGAAGCAGAGCCCTACTTTAAGAAAGACTTGAAAGTCAATCAATAAGCTGGGAACATGAGCAAACCATGCAAAAAAAAAAAAAAGTCAGACCATAGAATCTTACTTTGATGACAAAGAAGATCTAAATATGCACTCAGAAGAAGACAACAAAGTCAAACCTCCTACATCTGAAGCCTCCAAGAAAAATATGAATTGGTCTCAGGCCATAGATGAGGTCAAAAAGGATTTTGAAAATCAAGTAATAGAAGTAGAGGGAAAATTGGGAAGAGAAATGAGAGTAATGCAAGAAAATCATGGAAAAACAAGTGAACAGCTTGCTAAAGGAGACCCAAAGAAATACTGAAGAAAATAGCACTTAGAAAAATAGACTAACCCAAATGTCAAAAGAGGGCCAAAAAACCAATGAGGAGAAGAATGCCTTAAAAAGTAGAACTGGCCAAATGGAAAAGGAGGTCCAAAAGCTCACTGAAGAAAATAATTCCTTAAAAATTAGAATGGAGCAAATGAAAACTAATGACTCCATAAGAAATCAAGAAATCATAACTTAAAACCAAAAGAATGAAAAAAAAATAGAAGACAATGTGAAATATCTCACTGGAGAAACAACTGACTTGGAAAATAGAGCCAGGAGAGATAATTTTAAAATTATTGGCTGACCTGAAAGCCATAATCAGAAAAAGAGCCTAGAAATTATGCTCTGATGTTCCAGAACCAGAGGGTAAAATATAAATTGAAAGAATCCACTGATCACCTCCTAAAAGAGATCTCCAAAGGAAAACCCCTAGGAATATTGTAGCCAAATTCCAGAGTTCTGAGGTCAAGGGGAAAATATTGCAAGCAGCCAGAAAGAAACAATTCAAGTATTATGGAAAGACAGTCAGGATAACACAGGATTTAGCAGCTCCTACATGAAGGGACCACAGGGCTTGGAGTATAATATTCCAGAGGTCAAAGGAGATAGGATTACAACCAAGAATCACCTACCAGCAAAACTGAGTATAATCCTTCAGGGGAATAAATAGACATTCAGTGAAATAGAGGACTTTCAAGCATTCTTGATGAAAGACCAGAGCTGAATAGAAAATTTGACTTTCAGATACAAGACTCAAGTGAAATATGAATCTTGTTGGCCTAAGACCTCCTTCTACTTTGACAATGAATCAGGAAACTCAGTTTTGTAAACCATTGTCCAAGGCTAAGTCTAGCTACCTAGCAACCACAACTACTATCCAAGCATTAATTTTAGAGCTAATAGAGAGCAAGAGCTGGGTCAATAATCCCCATGCTAGGATTGTCTCCCTGACTGTTGCTACCCAGACAGAGCCTGTCATAAGACTGACTCTGAACCTCATGCTCCATGGTCTCTCTTTCTTCCCTTACAAAAAAAATGACATCTGAACCAGCTTCTGTGAGTGGAGTAGTATGAATAGGTGGCTAGTAAGTGGTGATTGAAAGCAAGAAGATCAGACTAGGAGACTAATCCCAGTATTGTTTCCTTTCTGGAGCCTGAAGGGAAGTCTGTGGAACTTCATCTTTAAGATAAGTTAACTGTAGTGTGGCCTCTAGTCCAGGATACAATGAATTGCTGGAAACCAACAGAACATGCAACTTGTTTTAAGGATAAACATGATAAGCAAAATTCTTGGGACTGCACTGGCAAGCATTATGATTTTGTTTTGGTTTTGTTTTGTTTTTTAATATAAGCTATCAGGTAAGGCCACCTGCAGTATTCTCCTTTAGCACCCTTGGTTTTCTTGGCAGATCTCTAAGTTGAAGAGACTATCTCTTTGTTCTCAACTTTCTAAATACTTGTAGTCTCTGAAAAGGGAGGTTAGAACCACAGTAAAAGATTTTCATCCCTAAGACTCTGTGAAGAGAGAAAGAAGGGGAAGAGGGAGAGGGAGAGGAGGAGAGAGAGAGAGAGAGAGAAGGAAGAAGGGGGAAGAGGAAAAAGAGAGAGAGGGAGGAGAGAAAGAGAGACAGAGAGAGATAGAGACAAAGAGACAAAGACAGGCAGAGACAGAGAGAGGGAGAGAGACAGGGAGGGAGAGAAGAAGAAAGAAAAGAGAGGCAGAAGGTGAGAGAGGAAGAGAGAAAAGAGAGAGGGGGAAGGAGAGAGAGAGGAAGAGGGAAGAAAGAGAGAGAGAAAGAGGAAGAGAGTAGAGAGACACAGAGAGAGATGGAGATAGAAAGACAGAGACAGAGAGAGGGGGAGGAAGGAGGGAGAGAGGGAGGGAGAGAGGAAGAGAAAAAAAGAGAAAGGGATAAGGTGAGAGAAGAAGAGAGAAAAGAGAGAGGGAGAAGGAGAGAGGGGGAAGGAGAGAGAGAAAGAGAGACAGAAAGACAGAGACAGAGAGACAGAGGTGGGGAGGGAGGGAGAGACAAAGAGAGAGAAGGAGAGAAAGGGAAGGAGAGGGAGAGAGAGAGAGAGAGAGAGAGAGAGAGAGAGAGAGAGAGAGAGGGAGGGAAGGAGAGGGAGAGAGAGAGAGGAAGAGGAAGAGAGAAAAGAAAGAGAGACAGAAAGAGACAGAGAAAGACACACAGAGAGAGAGACAGACAGAGACAGAGAGAGGGGGAGGAGGGAGGGAGGGAGAGAGGAAGAGAGAAAAGAGAGAGGGAGAAGGTGAGAGAGGAAAAGAGAAAAGAGAGGGTGGAGGAGAAGGGGAAGGAGAGAGAAACAGAGAAAGACAGAGAGAGACAGAGAGAGGGACAGAGACAGACAGACAGAAAGGTGGGAGTGGGGAGGAGAGGAAGAGAGAAAAGAGAGAGGGAGAAGGTGAGACAGGAAGAGAGAAAAGAAAGAGAGGGATAAAGTGAGAGAGGAAGAGAGAAAAGAGAGATAGGGAGAGGAGAGAGAGAGAGAGAGAGAAGAGAGAGAGAGAGAGAGAGAGAGAGAGAGAGAAAGAGAGAGAGAGAGATGTGCGGTGCGACAGAGCTGCGTCAGCGCTGCGGAGGAGGTAGCGGTTGACATCGCCCGACCGGGCCGCAGCGGAGGACCAGGGGATTGCCCGGGAGCCTAAGGTGAAGCTAGGCCTCCACCTGCCGCCACCTTGGACGTGGATCCCAAGTCTGCGACGGCTTCTCGGAGCCACACAGGTATGAAATGTCACCAAATAAGCTAATGATTCGCTTAGAGCTGGCTTGGTACCCAGCTCATTCCAGATGCTATTCCTCCTATGACAGCGCAGGCAGCTCGGATGATCCATCCGAATAAGCAGCCGGAGGGGAAAGAGCAGGAGTCGTGGACCTTACTCCAGCCCAGCCCAGCCCCGAGCCCGAGGAAGCAGCAGAGGAAGATGCTGATGTCGCTGCCCACGCTGACAGTGCTAGTGCCCCTCATCTCTCTGGCCGGCCTGATCTACTCGGCCTCCGTGGATGAGAATTTCCCCCATGGCTGCACCAGCACGACCAGCCTGTGCTTTTACAGTCTTCTCTTGCCCATTATCCTGCCGGTTTGCGTGATTCTCTACCTCTGGACCTGGACACAAAATTAATGCAATCCGAGTCCCCCACCCCCACCCCAGCCCAGCCCACCTCCCAGAGAGCATTTACATAGCAGGGCCTGTTGTCTACATTTTAACAAGAAAACGATCTCTTATTTCATTCCACTTAACTCTTAATAGACTGGAATGATCTCCTTTTCCCTCTCATAGGGAACTAAGGTTTTCATCCCTCAGAGATTCAGGAGTAAGGATCTTGTTCATTTTCATCCTGTCTTCTTGTTCCCGAGCTGGGGGTAGGGGCGGTGGGGGTGGGGATCCCCTTCTTATTCTTTTCTTTAAAATATTCTCCTATATCTTGATCTATGGAAGTGCTTGATTTTTAGTTCTGATTATACTCCACTCAAAGTTAAATACATTCACCAAAAGGTTTTTTGATTATTTTCATCACTAGGTTAGAGGTCTTTGTAATGGAAGGAAATTATAGATAAATCTTTTCAAAGACGCTATACCAAATAATTTGCTCATTTAAACAGTTTCAGATAAATTCATTTGAATTAGCATTCATGCAAAGGCTTACAATAAAATGGAAATTGATGTGTATAGGAAAAATAGCAGAGGGGGTGGGGGGGAATTAGAGGTGACCTACCCTGACACAACTTAGACCTGAAATTCAATTAAAACAGGATGTTCCTGAAAGTAGAAACATTCCAAATTCACCTCAGCTTTGATTCCCAAAGAGCACAAATATCAAACTTGTGATACACTGAAAGGTTTATCAGAGATTAGAATCTCCAGTGTGGGCCCTAAGGAAAGCCTGGGTTTTAGGAAAGCCTTGTAGGGGGTTGACAGAAGTTTGAGACCTCATTGAGAACAGGAAAACTGACAAGTCTGTAAAGCTGTGAACTCCCCTTGGAGAAATACTGATTTCTCCCCCGGGTACTTAGTGCTTGGATTTCTAACCATTTCTAAGCTTGATGTTAAAGATTCTTGGTTCCTTGTGGATGTCTAAAAGTAGCTGGAATAATGTTTTGAGCTTTAAAATTGAGCTATTTGAAATACAGATTTGTATTGGTTTAATAAATTTATTAGGGAAAACTGTTATTTACAGCGTGGTTGATCTGTGCTCTGAACACCCACTATTGGGGCCATAGTTTTGTACTTTGTTCTGAGTTAAAGTAAGAATGGCTCAGTCTGGCTCCTCTCTGAATGCCACTGGCATAGGAGGCAAAATTGGCAGAGTATCTAAACAATCATTAGAAAATGTATTCAACTGGATTGATGCCCTCTGGCAGGAACTTTTGTTTTGTGTTTTATGTCTTAAGTCCATAATATTGTTTCTTGTTAGTGTTACTTACATTGATGTGTCTCTTGCACTGTGATTTGATTCTTTGCATTGTGATTAGAGTATACAGAAGCACTGTTGGTCTGCAGGATGATGCCCAGAGTGTGATACATTTGTATCCTTAGGAAGTTTGTTCCTCTTTTGATCACAATGCTGTGATTTTATGACTTCAAGCTATCACTTATTAGCAGCTCCTGTCTGGAAGGCAGCTTGCTCTTCTGGTTAAAAATGGTCTTAAATGTGTCCTCTGGGTTGTCAAAATTAACTTGCTACCTTGGGGAGATTCACTATGAGAATTCTATCAACAAGCCAGCTCCTCTGAATCTTCTGCCTTGGTAAGGTCAGAAAAGCTCATCAGCTTCGCGACCGAAGAGGAAGCAGAAAGGTTTTGTAAATTTTACCCTGATATTAAGGCTCACAGAGGAACCAACTTTCCCCACCAACATACACTCCAGGCACACACACACACACACACACACACACACACATGCTAATGGGGAGATTGCTTAAATGTTGGTTTGTAATATGGTGAATTGTCTGAGTATTGATTGTTATATGATTTATAGAAACTCACTGTATAAAATTGTAACTTAATTGGCGTATATCAGTGTTACATCTTTGAGTCCACTTTGGATCAACAGACCCAAGTTTCAAAGATTTTCCTTTTGTCATCGGGGTTGAGCATCAGTTCGTCCAGGCTGACTATAACCAGAGTCTTTTGGGGTTTGAGTACATTCAGTTTATGAGTAAAATCCCCAAATGTGATTATTTTCTAAATTTCTAATGATCTTTTTTTGCATCGGAATGTATTAAACTAGAAGGAATCTACTAAAAGTTTTGGAAAAACTTTGTATATGCTAAATAACCACTAAGGATAAATGTGTTTAATTATTATTTATTGTGAATTTACTGATATTGCCATTAGCTTGAGAAACTGCTGTGCCCATGAGATGGTAACTTACCGTGAAACGGACCCTCTGAGGATGATAATTTGATTGTCCCAAGTATTGAGTCTGGGTAGAACTGTTTGAATGATTGCTAAGCTAGCAATCCACCATTTAAGGGAAATGCCAAGAGCCATTCGAAAGGAGTGTGATCTCCGTGTGTTACAGGGAGATGTTAATTGCTGAGAAAGTTGAGAGGACAGCCTTATAAAAGTAATGATGGGACCTTCTTGACTCAGTTTCCCAGTATGCCATTTCCTCTTTGAGCAGGAAAGTTTCCCAACTGTTATAATACGAACCCAGCTATTCGACTCTTTGAAGAGTATGGGAGTTTAGTGCACAATTGGCTATTCTAAAAAAGGTGTTTTTTACTTTTACCTGAAATCAAACAAAGCTTGTCCTCTTACCCCATTATCAATCTATCAGTCTGTGACTTTAGACTTGACCCTTAATTACAAAGGTTTTAAAATGAATCTCATTGTTCCAATCATCAGACTTCTCTGAGCAGATGTAAAGGACCTTATTGCTTGTCTTTGCTGTTCTGACTCTGGTCATCATTTGTCTCATCTTCCTGATGTAGACCATTAGCCCATTAGCTCACTTGTTTAATAGCTATATATTTATATATATATATATAAGATTATGTTTTTAGGGTCTCACTTTCTTTCTATCCAAGTGACCCTTCCCTTTCCCATGACCTGAAGCTAAGATATGAGGTTACAATATAATCTTCAAAAGGGGAGAAATGATGAAAGACATATAAAGGCTAGAATTCTTAATGGAGTAGTAAATATTACCTTGAGAGAGGCAGCACAATTAGACTGTTTCCCTTTAGGGTTGGTTTCCCAATGGGTACTAAAAATACTAAAAGATCTCATCTTGGATGCAATTGTACTAGGAGCTTTAGAATTTCTGCTCTGTTGTGCCAGTAAAAACAATGGCAAAAGGCCAAGTGAAGACAGTGGTCCCAAAGTGATATGTTTTATATCTGACTTTGTAGGTAACAAAGAACAAGACGGAAAAAGGTGGAGACAGGAACTGAACCTCCTCCAGAAGAGGTCCATTTGAATAGCCCCAGACGGATTTCATGCAAATGCCTAAAACTGAGAGCTTTGAATATGTTTAGTAATTGTCCATAAATTCTCAAGTTGGATTGAGGCTTTCATTTAGAAAATTTCTCTAGTCTTTGTTAAGAAACTGTCCATTGAGGTCTGGTCCTCAAAGATCCTTTTAAAAATGCTTTCTCCAACCTTACTAAACATTGTTGTTAATATCATCTAAAGGTCTTGGGAAAGGTAGAAAAAGCAAATGGCATGTGAAAATTAAAACTCAGATGAGATGTTCTTCCTATAGCCTTGATAATTATAAGGTTAATACCATAAGGTTTGCACAAGCTTTCACCTCATGGACTAATTACAGGAAAGACAATGTAGTTAGGTTTGGTCAGACCTTACTAAATTATATTAAGTCTTATCACTAGCAGATTTGAGCAGTATTACCTAGGAAACCAACATGAGAGTCATTGCGTGATCAGAGCCAGAAAAATGAATCTGCTGGAAGAAATAACTCTTCAGAATTCTCTAGAAACAAGGTGGACAGGTCCATACGAGGAACTGCTAACAATTGATGCTGCAATTGAAAAGTTGAAGGTGTTAATTCATGGATATATGTTTCTCAGGGCCAAAATGAACCCTTTGTGGAGTAGTGATCTAAAACAGAACCTTTTGATTCAGAATTAGCAATGAAAAAGTGTTTCCCCAGTAGCATACTATTTCATGAAGCAGACAGCTAAACCCAAGACTCCAGAGAGAGGACTATATTGTCTAAATGGACATTAAGATGCATTCTGTGTTCCTTTTTGTTCTTCTGATTATACAGTTATGTTTACTGCCCTTTGTCTCTTAGAATTTTCTTACCCACTTAAAAGGGTACATAGGCACCAGATTTAAGATAAAAACTGGAAGTTTAAACCCAGGTCCTCCTTGTTCCAATTCCCCACAAAATTACAGGTAATAATATCTTCATCTATGTATGGGAGCATCTTGGGTCCCACACAAGTGTATTCTACTCTTGAGATCCAGTTCCCCTTTATAATTGTGGACACTTTTGCTAAATATTTACTGCTATTCAGAGCAATTGCTTCAGAAACCTTGAGAGGGAAGAGTGAGTTTTGGAAATTATTGCAACCCTCCATTCTTGCTTAGACGTTTTGTTGAAGCTGCCTTCTTATTCTTTTCAGATGTATGGCATTATGACTGACTGATTCATGTTTTCTCCTCAGCCTTAAAGAGAATGTTTTGCATTTTGTAGTATTTGTTCCTCATACATTTTTGGCTTCCTCACTGCCATAACCCAATTTGGACTAAGATTCTGCTTTGCCTGCACAAACAATTGCCTAGCTATATTACAGACACAGACATTGAGTAGTTCAGATTTGGTGAAACTCCTGAGGAAGGATCCAAGGGGAGAATTGTGGAGGAGGAGAATGAACCTCAGCACACTTGGATTTGGGGAAAACATCGGCTCTCAAATTAAGTGATCTCTGAGACCAAGGAGACAGAACTGGGAAGTCTGCCCTTTACTTCACTCCCTACTGGCTATAACTGAGTGAACAAGAAAGATTCCATTTTAAAATAGAAGCATCTCAGAAATTTCCTGCTTACTCAGGATATTCTGATAAGACGAACCACCGAGAAATGTATTTTCCCACAAGAACAAACTTGACCTTTAGCAACTCTGGTGACCCCAAGGCTTACATACACCCCCATTTCCCTTCTGCTTCAGAATGGCTGTGTACTCTGAGCAAGTCTGAAGTTATAAACTCACTCTATACCTTAAGAAAGAGAGGGTGCGACTGGCCCAATCAGTCTTTCTTTTTTCCTCTTGGACACCAAATTTTCTAGATATGATGGTGGGTAAGGTTCTCTTTAGGCTGTCAAGGAGCTGAAACCAGGCAGAGATCTCCCAGGACAGGGTAGAGAAAGGATTCCTGCTCAGGTCTCAGTTGGGAAGCTGCCTGTGAGGTTTGTTCTGGCCAATAGGTTCTATGAAAAGGCAGACCAGACCTTCCTAACAGGAGAATGAGAAGCTGACATCACTTTTTCATAGAACATCATTTTCTTTTTCCAAAAATAGGAAGCAGGTTTGTCCCATCATTGCACTGACGAGGAGCTCTAGGGACAGTCCTGGACCTATGGTTTCATTGTCATAGGGAGTTTGCAGGTGAGGAAATTCTCTCTACCAATTAACTTAAGTGGGGTAACTTCCCATTGTGTCAGAGGGGCATACGCATGTCCATCTTGCAGGCTTCGAGGCCAGCCTTGTATTCTGCAGCTATGCTGTGACACCTCTCTTATTGCTCTCTATTGAATTTCCTCCTGTCCACTTTGGGTCAGTGACCTAGCCTGTCCTTCCTAGCCCAGTATCATCAGCAGTGCTGACAAGAATGCTCCCCATCTCTCAGTCAAGCACTTAACCTTTCCAAGCACTCACTATGTGTGGACGTTGTCCCCACAAGGAATGATACAGTTTTGACTCTCAAGGAGAGCACATTTACGAGGGAGACCACAAGGATCCAGAGAAGTGTATGCAATGTGAATAGAGAGTGAAGAAAAGGGTGAAATCATTACATCTAGGCCTTGATGGAAGTCCATGAGCAAAGTGTCAAACAGCCCAGGGTGCCCAAACTTTGATCCCTGGGGCACTCCACTCCCTATTAACCTTCAATGCCTAGGCTCTGGCCCCAGCCCCATCTACTTGGACTAGTTTCTAGTGCCTATCCCTTCATCTCTTCCCTTTGTATCACATGCCAAAGA